TGCAGGCTGCTGGACAATGGAGGAAGGTGGATAACTACCGGTTGGATTTCACCTGGTGCTTCTGTAGGTCTTCTGTGTAAGGGAAGGTGTCAGGAGCTTTCCCCAGATTGTATGGGGACTATGTGCATCATTACGATGCCTGTAAGTCAGGACATGTAGGACAGCTCTTTCTCTACTCCCTTGATGCTCAGGAAAGAACAGGAAGATAGGATCACTACTAATGAGCAGCACATGTGTTCAGGTTTCTATTGCATCTGAGCAATAGAATAGAAAAACTTTTCTGTCTGGCCTCTTGGTGAAATTTTGTGCACACCCTTTCAGCCACTTTTAAGCTAGGAGAGGCTTTCTAGCCTGAGCGCTTTCATAACACAGGCCAAGGAATGCCAGCTGGTCCTTCTCACAGTAGAAATTTGTTCTTGGTTATGCAGGTGAATACATTCATGCTCTAAAATTCACAAAAATGTAAGGGGTAGTGTGGGCAAAGTGGAGCCTGACTAGGTGATGTGCACCCTTGTGTTGTCATGCAGGCAAATCTAAACACAGCAAGCTCTGGGACTTAGAAGTGGTCCCATAAATGCTGCTTATAAAGAGACTCAGTGAGGAGGGCTAGTCTTTGGCTGGCTTCTGAAATATTGCATGCCTCCTGTTGTTTCAGACCAGGGGTAGGCAACCCCTGGCACGTGTGCCAGAGTGCAGCATGCAAAGGCATTTTGCTTGGCATGCGTGCCTCGGGGTGGATGGGAGGGAAGGGGCCAGGGCTGCACTGCCACAAGAAGGATCAGGCCCCTTGCAGTTCCCCTGCCATTCACCCCTGGCACACCAACATCTTACATGTTGAGGTTGTGGGTGTTTTTGGCACTCTGCCCAAAAACATTGCTGACCCCCATTCCAGACAATATTAGTTTTTAAGGGTTTTTTTTTTTTTTTTTAAAGGAGAGAAATCCAATGTTAACCATCTGCCTCACCTATTAAAAGGCCAAGAAGCAAAATCTGTAGGATATGATATTCCAGTGCAATCTGGGTAGTAATCTATGATGCTGTCTGTTGCTGTATTAAGAACAAGAGTATCTAGGCTACAGGTCTGACAAAGAATCAACCCCCAGCGTCTGTGAGGAATTGAAAGAGGATACGGAAAGTCAGTTACTTGCCAAGACCTTGTCTTGTCTGCTGCTGTTGGAGTAATAATAGCCTGAGGCTTTTTAAGCACAGATGGCTTAGGCAGCTTTGACTACAACAGGGATCAGTCAGTCAAACATTTCTTGCTGGATGTCAAGAGGACTAATTACTGTATTGGAGTGAGCGAGAGATAACGGATGCAAAAGGGTAGTGACAGAGACTGAGTCATGCTGAATGAGCAAATGACAGTTTTATTGGAATCCATACTGGAATTTTATATTGCACAGGAGGAAGGGAAGTGTGCCTGAAAGCTTACAAAAAATATATATTTTTGCAAATATCTACTTGGTCTAATAAAAGATATCACCTCTGCCATGAGTTCTGATTCTGTGTTTCTGAAACAGGAACACAGGCAAAAGGAATACAACTATACAACTATAACCAGTATAACTGTAACATGTATCCCTGAAACATAGAAGAGATCAAATTTTAGCCATTTGTGAAATGAAAACTTCATAATTTTGCAAGAAGGAAGAAAGTTCACTACCTTGGAACCTGAAAGCTGACACCTTGGCTCCTGCCTATTGTTGCAGCTCAATCTGCATGTTCACAGAGCAAAGTGCCTCTACACAAGAGAATTTCCTACCCAGGAGAGCATCCATCACACCATCCTCCTGTGCAATATGAAATACCATAACCAGAAGGAAACATAATTCAACATCTTGCTTGACACCAGACAACATCAAGGTAAACAGACTGTTCTAACTTTTATCTGAACATTTGGACAAAACAAACTATTCCAAGCAGGAGACCTTACAACACCTTCAGCTCTCCTGTGAAATATGAATTTTCATTTCCACTTAGGAGAAGTTTTACAATATTTGCATTCTCCTATGACTGAGGAAGGGTGGGTGTGCCAGAAAGCTTGCAATTAAATTTTTTTTTTGCAACTATCTAATTGGTCTAATAAAAGATATCACCTCTGTTACGAGTTCTGATTCCTGTTGCCTGTAGACCAATACAGCTACAACCTGTATCCCTGACAGTTTTATTGTTATCTGCTAAGGGAGGACTGCATTAGTCCTGGACAGAACAAGTGGAAGACATGCTCCTTGCTCAGGATGTTCTGGTCTAGAAGCCTGATCTTTCTAGGTGTTGAGCACTGAAGACCTGAAGACTTCAGAGAAGTGGGTTCCTGCTGAACAGCTGTGACCCCCCGTTGGCTGTTTTAGGAGAGAATCAGAAATTATTTTACACCCTCTTGATGTGGTTTCTGTTGGGATGACTCTATTTAAAACAGTCTACGTGACATTACTCCTTGCTGTATTCAGTCTGCCCCATAAGTCTAACAACCCGTTATACTAAATGCTGCAAGGAGTAAAAAGTAGATAGTTGTTTATCAGGTGCATATCCAACCAGTTGGCATCTGGGGACACTAGCTCCTTGTGTCAGCTGGACTGCTGAGGTAGCCCTAACCTAGAGTGGCCCTGCACCCTCTACCTACTGCAGTAGTTTGGCTGTGGTGGCTGCTGTCTGGTTGTGACCTGCTGCCACCTGCAACAGCATCCACCCCCTTGGATCTGCAGACCCATGGGTGTGAGCCTGCCAGGCCCAGATGGGGACCGCACCACCGCTTGGTCTGTGGTATGGACACCGTAGCAGAGCCACCTGCACCTGCACAGCTGCCAATGGGCTGTGGCTGAACAGTTGACATTTGAGTGGCACTGCTGTCATGTCTTCTGGTAACCCACCCTGCCATCTGGGCAGCTATTGCCCAGAAGATGTGCTCATTGTGGTGGTCCACTCTGAACTGTTGAAGTGTGTCCTCCTGGGCCCTAATGGCCAGGACATCAGCCACCTCATCTGCCCTCCAGCTGGGTCCCTGGTCCCTTGGGCAGGCTCCTTTGCCCGAGTCCCACCACTTGTCTCACTAGCAGGGATCCTGGTGTTCCCTGTTTTAAATTTGCACATTCCCTGATTAAAAAACCCAAATTCTTTCATTAAAATACCCAAAATCTGTGTTCTTCCGCAATTAAAATGAAATGCCACTATATATAAAGAGATCAGTTGGGCAATGTTTTCTTGATATATTTACAATTTTAAAGCAGTTTGGAAGCCTGCCAGTGCCTCTATCATCATAATAAAACTAATTCTAAATATCTGTACGCTTTGGTGTTTGCTTTTGGTTTTTTTCTCATAGAAAAATCAGAGCTTCCCCTGTCTCCTTTGCTCACCAGGATGTGGGGTGCTGAGTAGCAATGATATGCCAGTGCCCTGCACTTACCTTTTCCCCTCACTCCCAAACCACAGCCTCACCAGTGTCCCTCACTCCTGACCCACAGCCCCTGTCTTCCCCTACTAGCTGAGCAGTGCCAGCCCCTACTGTTCTGCTCCCTGTGCCTGTGCCCAGGTCCCAGCGATCCCCAGGCCATTTCTGGGAAGCCCTTGACTGGGGCTCAGGGACTGGGCTGGGCAAATCCCTTCCCTTCCAGGCCAGCCACCTCATGCACAGGCTGCCCCATGCACAGGGGGGCTCTAAACTGCCCCATGCACAGGCTGCCCCATGCACAGGGGGGCTCTAAGCCTGGCTCTGGAGTCCTCTCCTACCCAGACCACTCCCCCATCCACAACTTCATCTCTCTCTCTCTCTCTTTCTCTCTCTCTCTCTCTCTCTCTCACACACACACCCACCCCTGCTGCCACCTCCACCTCTCCCCCCAGCACATCACACCCCCCAAGTGGTTTCTGGGACCAGGACCCTCCCTCCTCACCTCCCTGCCCCCGGCTCGGGCCACACGTCCCAACACTGGTGAGGGCACGGGACAGGATTGCAGCATGGCAGTTGCTACAGGTCCCATCCCATCTGGCAGCAGGGGAAGCAGTGTGTGAGATTTGTGGGGGGATGTGGGGTAGAAGATCTACTAGGTCCCTTCCGACTCTTAATCTATGAATCTATGACTCTATGAA